TTAAATATTCATGATTATGAGGCGGAAGGATAACAGGGTTATCACGTTGGCTACGGTGATATGTACGGCAACTAGTTACATGTTTTTAGTATGCCTCTTCAAGTTTGTGTATCTTAAAATTTTGGTGGTCAACCTCATACAAATTTTAGTGCAAAGAGATGACCATTTGTTCCTCTGTAGTGAAAAGCATTCAGCCCAACGAAAATTTGGGGAAAAGTTGGAGGTGGGCAAAGAGGCCAGAATTAACATTGAAGTCAATGGGGAAATTAATGGTGGTCTGCCTTCATGAATTGCTGACTCATTTGATGAGCTGGCGACTTAAACAGGACTTGGACTTGAAGACTTAGAATTCTACTCGCTACTAAAGTCAGCAACTTGGAACTCGATTCAGACTCAAGATGCGTCAACTTGGGACTCTACTTGAACTCGAGGTCCCATGACTTGCTCCTATCTCTGGTTTCTAGTTGTTGAGTTTGGATCATCTCCCTGTACTTACTATAGTAAAAGATAAAACTCCACATTTTTTTTTTACGATCAATTTGAAGTAGAAAAAGAATAATTGCTGATGGTGTAACGATTTTTCACGAGTTTATTCCAGTGATATTTGTCGAGGCGTTTGATTATTCAACTGTTACTGTGATAAACATGCTTCTTGTTTTAACAGATAGTTGACCTTTACGTTTGAATACAAGAAGTGGATTGACCTTTAATCAATTGTTGTCATATTAATGGAATAGTTCAGTCTCAGGTAAATTTTGTGTACCTAGCGGCAATGAGACCATTAGCATAAGTAGAGGTTTATTTTTATTTTTATCACTTTAGTTAATCACATTATTGAGTTAATTACTGCTATATTTAAATATTTACCCAATGTGCACTGATAATGGACGGTTTTTAACTCGTAGTTAGGCCTTGTGAATCAATCAGATTAAGACACAGATCTTATTTTGTTTCGTTTTTTTAAAGTTCAGAATTTCGTCTTCACTACACAAGGATCTGGAAGAGTTGTTAATTGAACTGGGTTCTGTGGGTAGACATTCGCAGTGATAGAAAACAAATGGCTGGCTTTTGTATGTGAAATAGCTTTATTTAATGTCTGTTTCAGCCAACAGTGATATCGCCAACTATTGCTGGCTTTTGTTTGACCATATATCCCATTTAATATCATTTATATAGTTTACAGTGGATGCCTAACATTAACAAATGTTCAATCCATCATATCTTTGTAAATAAGGAATGGAATTGAACCATTTATTTTGCCTGATAATCATTTTAGAGTTTCAACTTTCACTATATTGTAGTTTGCAAGAGACTCGTCTAAAATTTATTATATTTAGTCTGAACACAGTTATAATGTTAAGTTAAAATATTAGGCAGCTATGTTATATTTTAAGTAGTTTAGAACGCGTGATATAAAGTTAATATTAGGCAGCTATGTTATATTTAAAGTATAGTTAAAATATTAAATTGCTACTTGCATGTCATGTTTTAGGTACCCATCCATAGTTTGAATGCTGTTATTGCTAGATATCATAATGTTAAATTACTGGCAAGCAATATCATGTTTCAGGTACCTAGTTTACAGTTATTTTAAAGTCAGATCCATGTCCATAGTTTATTAGCTAATTGTGGAAATGATTTACGTCATGCGTCCGGGTCACATGGTGTATTCTAATCACTTCAGTGGCCTCTTGTTTGTTTATTTTTTTAAGACCATTCACCTAGTGGCCAAATAGAAATGTCATCCTGCTGTTGCCTGGAGTTCCTTTAATTTATATACTTATATGATACTTAATAAGTACAGAATTCCAGGAGTTGATGGAGAATTTCACATTTGTATTCGTAATTTCCTATCTTTTATGAAATAATTTACATGTAGGCTACTTCAGTAAAATAAAAAAACACTTCTTACTGATGTAATAAATTATTATCATTGTCAATGTGATAAATGAATGCTCATTTAGGGCAATATAAATCACTTGGAAACTACAATATTGTAGAAGATGAATCTCTAAAAGGAATATTAGTCCAAAAATGTTTCTGTTCAGTATTTACACAGATATGATGAACTGAAATTCCATTGATCTATATGCTGCTCCGTGGGTAGCAAAAAAGCTGCCATCTTTATTTGATGTGAACCAATTGATGGGTCTGTTTTGAGTCGAAGTCAGGAGATTATCTTGCGTTGTATTTTGATTTTTTTTTTAACGTTAAATAATCAATCTGAGTACATATTAGTATGGTTTAAGATGTGAGAAATTTGATATACTCCAAAAATGTTTTGGGTTTGTGAGAGTCATTTGATTTTAAGAATTCTCGACTTGTTACTTGTACTGTATTTAGATCTACATCACATGATTTAACATAAACTAATAATGTCAGGTGTTAGGTGGGTTTTATTTATATATATTCATTTATTCACGATTTATAATAAGATTCATCATGTTCAATTCGTTTAGTGTCAACATAGACAGATACATGGTAGCACACCAAGATTAGGAATATGATTATTCATTATTTAAATATGGAAAAATAAATTGCTTCAAATATATATATGGTTATTTTGAGGAATTGTTCATTGATCTGTTGTTTGCTCAACAAATATGACTTTACTATGAACAGGGAACCAGTCATATCAAAAATAGAAGTCAGTCAATTGATGCACAATTGTCTAAAGAACAAGTATAGCAAGTTTCATGTTGATTGTACTTGAATTGACAGTCTTAGTGCAATGCCCTGAGAATTATTAGAATCTTAACAATAGTATCAAACCACTTCCTGACTTAATTTCCAAGAAAGTCTGCCATGTATTTTATATTATTTATATAATATAAATGCGATTATAATGTAATGAACACTAGGAATGTGACAATGAGTTAACACCTTTATAAGTACTGTATTAATAGGTGAAAGAATCGGTACTACACTGTAGGTTAGCTTATTATGTTCATACATTTATAGAGAGAGAGAGAGAGAGAGAGAGAGAGAGAGAGAGAGAGAGTTTAACCTCGACACAAACTATAAATGCGATTATAATGTAATGAACACTAGGAATGTGACAATGAGTTAACACCTTTATAAGTACTGTATTAATAGGTGAAAGAATCGGTACTACACTGTAGGTTAGCTTATTATGTTCATACATTTATAGAGAGAGAGAGAGAGAGAGAGAGAGAGAGAGAGAGAGAGAGTTTAACCTCGACACAAACTAGGTCATTTTGGGACTAACATAAGTTTCAATTTCAATAATTTGCTTGCACAAAGGGGTCTTTACCAGTGGGAGGAAACCGGAGGACCCGGAGAAAACCCATGAGGTTGGACAGGCAACCCTACTCCTTGTCACGTACAACCGGGGATTCGAAACCACGCTAGTCGACTCAATGACAGACCTTATGTTACAACACCATCCAACCCCCTTTGTATGGAGAATGGTTATGGTTAGGCCTAACCTCTTCTTTAATCCTAATCCATATATTTACTGAATAAACATATTGTTTACTGAAAAATAAACACAAAGAAATAAAACATTAAAGATATGTATTTTCACGATGAAAGCATAATGTGTCTGTAAACTAAAAAAAAGGGGTTGTTTTTATTTTTTATGTCCTTTGTGTAATTATTGATTTTTCGTGGGTAGATCAAAAACCTTTGGTCATTTCTTTTATATTTTTGTTCGATATGTTTTGTTGTGCATTTGTGAAATTCCTACTTGACCTACTGAAAGTGATGAAGTCATAAGCCTTTAGGATGAGCAGAAATGAAAAAAATATCAAAACAAAATTTGTGTCATGATGTGCCTAGCGAGTTATTTATAGAGTTAATTACTGTAGTAAATTACCGTGAGGCGTGATTGTGTATGTTTATAAATAGCTCACAATAATAACGATCGAGATAACAACCTCTTACATGAACCATCAAAAATCATGGACTTGGATAGCGCCATAACACTATTGATTTTATGATTGCCATGGAGCCAATGGCAAAAATATCTTTGAGTTTATTTGTGAAGTAAATGTCACCAATGGAAGAATTGTGTCATGCCGAGAAACGTTAGTTTCTAATCAACTGTTTAGCAATAGAAGCCATTTTGGACAAATATTTCCAATTTAGTCATAATGATCGTTTCTAATATAACATATTTGTTAAATATTATACAACTTTGAGTGATGTGGTCGGTACAAATAAATTAGAAGTGATAATTGTTATCAGGTGGTCTAGAAATAGTAAATATACCTGATCAAATGCAAAGGAATGTGCCACATTATCCAGTAGAAAATAAGCTCTCAAATCTCAATGAGAAATAGGCACTGTATTTCTTGGTTAACCCTTCCACTTGTATAAATTCAAATACGCTGGAAAACATGTGAAGTTTTTAAGGAATGAGACGGGGTTTGCTTGTTCATGCATCTATCATTAGTACCATGCTGGATTCCATTAAATGATTATTATTGTTCAGTTAGACACAATCTATATCGTTTATTTCAAAATAAATTGAAAATAAAAATATGCATGAAAAACTTGTACGAAAAAACACAGAATTGTTATTACTTTATTGTCTTAAGATGCATTAAGTTGTCCATGTAAAATTTGAAGAAACCAATGTCAGCTTTGAATAGCCACTATAACATGATAGTGAATCGCGCCCCACACAACCAAAGTAGACACAGAAGACACAAGGACAGTACAAAAACATTAGAATTGATCCATTTGATTAACTTTTGAACTAAAATGCTTTTACTTAAAAGTATTTCTGTATATTTTTATAGAAAAATATCTTTCAAATAGAAATGATTGTGTATTTGATTTAATCTTCATTCTGTTTTTTTGAGGCTTTAATAAATCAGTATTCTTAAAAAAATATAATTAACCTGGGTTGTGATTGAATAAATGTTGAACCAAAATTTTTTTCAGTAGTACTTTTGACTTTATATGGTCTTAATATTTAACCTTCATTGTGGTATATTGAGCCTTTAATGACAATATTTTTATTTTATTTTCAGGAGAGATGTTTAATGAACAACAATTAGAACAACAGTTGGCATCACTCAAACATCAACAGCAAGTCCAAAAAAATATGTTATTACAACAATTTGAACAAAACTGTCAAGCACAACTCAGTAAGTTTATTTTAATTTTATAAGCATGAGATGAAAAACTGAGGTCCACCCCTTTACACTCTGGGTGCACTTAAAAGAACCCTTGGCAGTTGGAGTTTGATGAAGGGTAGACGGAAATGTTGCTGTCCGAGCAAAATTTTATCCTTGAAGCCTTCAGACAGACCCAATTTAGCTAGCAGTTGCCACGCGTATCAGGTTAAACTGGCAGTCTCGACACAGACTGTGTTAAACTGGCAGTCTCGTCACAGAGTACGTTAAACTGATGATGGTGACAGTCCATATACATGTCACAGTTCTAGGGAATACAATTACTACTTATTACTGAGCGACTTTTCGACTAGGCTTCTCTAGAATTGTGAGCTGTATACTCCAGTTCAGTTACTAAATGCCATTGAAACAATTTAGTTGACAGTCCAGTTTATTATACAGTAGATCATAGGGTTCATTGTCTATGCATGCCCTGGGTTTAATCTCTTAGCTTGTTCATGGCAATGAGTAAGGTCACCTACCAAACTTTGATGGGTTTCTACAAGTACCCTTGGTTTACACCCACTTTTAAAAAACCCCATAAAAACAACTTCTGCACAAACAAGTTAATGAATTTAAAAAAAAAGACAATACTATTTTAATCATTGGTTAGTATTGAGTGGAAGTTAAACACTTAAACCCCATTCTTCTTTCTCTTTCCACTTTTATAAATCACAAGGAATGCTTTTATTCATTTTTTTCTCTCTTCCCCCCCCCCTCCCCTTATAAATCACCAGGAATGCTTTTATTCATTTTTCTCGCTCTTTCTCTCCCGTTATAAATCACCAGGAATGGTTTTATTCATTTTTCTCACTCTCTGTCTCCTGTTATAAATCACCAGGAATGCTTTTATTCATGGCAGTTAAGTCTCTAAGGAATATAGGTCAATAAAGTTTGTGGTTAATGATCTAGCCATTCATGTTTGAATATTGATATTATATTGTGTATATCATGTTCTTATGACAATAATATCTATATTGATATACATGATCTGTATACCGTATTTAACCTATTAACATTAATTGGGTATTAGTCACATTGAGACTAAGTGTTTGTTAGACACACTGGTAAATCTACTGTGCTGGCCATACTAAACTTATGCTGTCTGTCTACATCTAACTCCACTTGAGAATAGACACTAAGCTAGTTGACTGACATTTTAATTCCTAAATCGACGATTTTAGTCGAAAACACTCTGTATACTTCACAAATTTTGAGAAGTACTTTTTTCGTTTCCGTTTAATGAAATAGAAATGGTTTATTTAGTCTTTGTGTGTATAACAGATGTCAAATAGTGTATTAATTTTTGACCCAAATCAGAGAGGTCCATCTTTTTTGTTTTCTTTATTTTTAGAATGTATGGGTTATGTTTCAGGAGAAATGTATCCCGACACACACCTTCAACAACAGTTGGCCTCTATTAAACAACAACAACAATTACAACACCAACTGTTGTTACAACAATACGAACAACAGAGAATACAGCTAGAACAAGAACATGAAAAACAACTTCAAGATCATATCAAGGTAGTCATCTTTAATATACACTCATACCCTATAATGTGATTCTTTACAGGGCAAATTTCACTTCTCTGATGATATCAATTATGCGTTTGCTATTTTATGTTCGATTAGCATGTCCAGACTTTGAACATTGCAGATGACGATTTCCATTACCAAGAGACTATCATGCAGGGAAAGTCTTTCATAGTAAACTGTCTGAAACTGATTTCCAATTATTGACTACTTATGTACATCTCTATGTGTAATACTAGAACACTTTTTATGTGTAATGGCCACATATGACATGCAATGTACGCTAGAATTATATTACATAACATTTTATTTTTGACAAGCCTTAGTTGCCCAGATACTTTAGTTGTAATACAGTGATTGGTCAATTTAGTTGTAACGAACACAGTCATTGGTCAGTCAGTAAGAGCAGGATACAAATTACATCCTGCATTTAGTTGTAACAAACACAGTCATTGGTCAGTTGATACAATTAGCATATCATTTACATGGTTAACATTTGTCATGGTACAGTATTTAAGGTAATCGTGTTACACATGCGGGAGATTAAAGATAAGCTTGGATTAATTTAATCCCATGAATTCTAGTTTAATTTCAAATTTTTCTTCAATATTACATCTAATTTGATTGTGGTGGTATATTGTCGTCAACTTCTATCAGTCCATCCTGCTGAAGTGATCATCCGGTTGACTTGAAATTTAAGCAGAATGTTTATGTTGATGAAATGAAGAAGCTTAATGGTATCGGGTTTTGTATAAAAAATATTAGATCAAGGACGAATTAGAAATCTGTCCAACTTTAACTGTTTATATGAATACTTCATGGGTTGTTGCCCTTGATGCGACAGCCGTAATGGACTGTTTGAGTGACTTGGCACTTACGGATGTGTGTTTTGTTGTCTTGCAATGTTTTATTTAGTAGAGAATATTTTTAAATCGTGGCCTCATTGCACGATATTTATACAATTAGAATCTGTACCGGTAAATTAAGAATTGTTTACTTATGGAAATTGCTGATTATTAGAACATGGTAGCGCTTTAGGTCAGTTTTATTCTATATAAGGCCAAAATATTCTGGTTCTCAATACAATTCTTACCAAAAATCTGATTTGGGAGAAATTGGTTTTGTTTGTGTTAAATGATTTCTCATAAACATCACATTTCAAGGCCACTGTTTAATGAGATTGTATTTATTATGTTTTAAAGATAAAAACTGGTCATGCAGACCTTTTGAAGTGATACAGTATTATCTGATAACCAGAATATTTCTTTTATATAGCCTTAATATAGTTCTTATTCAAACTTCTTGATTTGTTAAAAGTGTTTTGTATAAAATGTATATCAGTAAAGCCGTATTTCCATACATTAAGCAATTTATATCTCCACAATATTGGCAAAATCCCTGTCATATTTGAAAAATATACATCCTCAGTGAGAAAATATGGACGAGGCTGTTGTATTTCTATGATAAGTATATAGTAACGATATTGTGTAGCTGACATATGAATGAATAGGAGTTATCAACTTTAGCTAAGCATGTAGTTTTAGTAGAAATCAACTGGACACAAAAAATTAGTAGCTTCAAAAATTCAATTAAAATTTATATATTTAGTAAGTTTTAAAAACCATTTTGCATCTTTTGACTGTTGATATTGAAATATTGTAGATAGTTGCTTTTAAAAAAATAGAATTCAAGCTAAACATTTGTTTTTGCACTATCTTTTTTGTTATCTGAAATGTTATTTTTACACTTTCAAAAGCTAATTTAGTCACATACAAAATTAGTCTGCTTACATTTATTTATTCTGTTATTTGAAATCTTGTTTTATTTGTTTGTTGTTTTTGTTGTGTTATATTTTATTTTTTTTATGTTTATTGTTCTGTGTTTTTTTTTGTGTTTTTAGTCATTTTTAGCGAGGCTGCATAAATATCTCTTTATATTTCTCATAAGCCACTATTACCGTGGCATTTTCAGGGTTTCCTGGATCGTGAGCAGCAGAAGACAATTGAACAACATAAACGGATGGAAAAAGAACTGATGGAGAAGGAACAATTAGAACGCATAAAAAATAAAAATAAAGAACAAGAAAGTAAGATTTGTTCGTTAGTCGTTTTGTACCATGGGTTCCACTTTGTTCATGTATACTAGTCAGGACCGATTATTTTAAAACATTGATCATTTAACACAATGTAATACTGGAGTATTTGCCCCCACCTCCTTTTTCAAACATGGCAATATTCTATCTCTGTCGAGTTACAAGTGTAAAAGAGAATAATGTCATCTTCAAATTCAAATAACTATCATAACTAGTGATTATAGGCTTGTCTTGTGAATAAATGTCTAGATAATAGTTTATATAACATTTGAGGCAAAAAGAAAATATCTGCAATAGGCAGTTTTAGCTGAATTATTATACTAAGATTTTATTTCTTATTTAAATATAGTAAATTTGATTTACATTGACAACTGGTATAAACTACAACATACATCGCACCGTAACATAATTAATGCATTATACATAGATTTAATTTGTAAAGTTTCCCATCAAAATTGACCGCCAGAGTGCCCAAAATTTCTGGCTCTTGGAAAATTGACAGTATATAATAATATCACTTATTTTCATTATTGTGATCGTTATGGCAACATTGATAGATTAAGTTCCATATGGAAGGCTATTAATACAACTGTTGTTAGAAATTTCTCAATATTATAGCTTATTGATAGTTTGTAAATATTTACATATATGACATTCAGTAATTATAATTTCTATTCAATCTACTTTCAATCTTGATACACATCTGACTTCAATAAAGTACTACTCATATCTGACTTAAATAAAGTATGACTCGTATCTGACTTCAATAAAGTACGACTCGTATCTGACTTCAATAAAGTATGACTTGTATCTGACTTTAATAAAGTATGACTTGTATCTGTATTTGACTTTCAATATTTCAGTACTCTCATATTTGACTTTTAATTATTAGGGATACAAATTAAAACATTCTCTATTCTGTGTTGTATAATCATATTTTTATATTATAGGTGCTATAGCTTCTACCGAGGTAAAAATGAAATTACAAGAATTTGTTTTAACCAAGAAACAAAGAGAACAGGCTGTTAAAGATCTCAATAATTCACCCCCACAGTTCAGACATCCATGGTAAGATCAAATTTTATTTTCAAATGAAATGAAGTTTAACCCTTAACCGGTCGACGTCATTTTGACGTTATGACGTCAAGTGGTCAGACTAAATAAGGGCTGACGTGAAATATTTTGTATTGTATACCTATTTCAATCGACTACTGCGGAATAATTATAAGTGATAGACTCTTGACACAAATAAAAAAGTTGTTGGGGATAAGTTGATCTATAATTTGCAAATCATTCTAAATCCTTTTCATCAGAAATATCGTCTTCAGAATCGGTATCATCGATATAATCCGATTCGGAATAATTCATAAGTATTTCAACCGCTTCGAGCGTCTTTAACGTTCCCGACACCGTTAAATTACGTTTTTCGTCAAAAAATGTTGAACAAAGACATGTTTTTCTCAATGCCCTTGACAAGACAAGTTCCTGTCTGACACACATGCGTGGCCATATGAATTAAATACGAAACTAAATACTCAAATGCGGCTTATAAAAAAGGTTCTTGCTGTGGTCGACTATAGTCGACCGTGACCACTTAGCTGTATAACGTTGTGGTGACTATAGTCGACAATGACCGGTTAAGGGCTAATGTACTACTTTCTGACCCAACCAGGTTAATGAAGATGCATTGTGCAGTAAGGGAAATTTTTCTGAGGCACTGGCATTTCAGCCTGTTCTTCATCCAATTGCAACTTCCAAGGTTTCTTTTAAATGCTCATTGAGTAATACAGAGGGGAATCTTGTTTTTTTGTTCCATCCAAACAAATAGGCCCCCCCCCCCCTCAGTATTCCAATTTAAAAAAGTTGCATACATGACAGTTTTGTGTCCATCTCCAGACATACATGTACTGATAGCAATAATCAACACAATGACACAAATGGTTAAAAAAACAAATTAAACAATGTAATGTTATTGTTAGACATGTCAATCTATCATTCCCGCGGACATTCTCCATTAACATCCAGCGACATATTAGGCTGTCAGATAACATCGCATTCTATTGGCTGATTTCAGACTTCTATCCAATTAATCCGAGCCCTTATATTAACATTCGATATCAGAATGTAAAGGAGGGTTGATATGTTTGGTGAATAATTATGGTAGCCACAGAATTAACATGGAAATGCTCATAGCTCGAAGGAGGAGGTCACTGTGTTCAAAACATATGCAGTTTAAAATTATACAAAATCTGAAAGTACAGTAGTTTATGAATCTCAATATTTAGGTGTACGATTTAGCTAATTTGCGGGAGTGTTTAATGTCTCCCCTGAAGCTACGTTGAGGTGCATTGAGAGGCACAGGAGCGAAAGCTCACCTTAAATGTGAAGGACTGCTTAGTTGTTTGTATCAGACAAAAAAAAACAAGGTCCACATTTGTACACATTGGTACACCCCTGGCAGTTAGAAATCGAAGACGACTTGGTGGAAATGCTGCTGTCTGGCTATAAAATATTTTTTAAACATTGCTCTGCACCGGCAAGTGAATGCGTGGCTGATTTGCACAACCCAACAATTACCTGATCAAATTTATGCATTGAAACTGAACTGCTGTGTATAAAACGTTAAAAATTGTAATTTCACACAATCATGGCTAGCGGAAATTGTTCAGCACAGTTAAAAACAATTGTATTAACAAAAAAACAGATTCATTTCTTTATAAGGTTTCAATGTCTGGTTTTGTTATGTTACTTTTTGAATTTCAATTAATTATCTTAGATTACATGTGTTGAGCTGTAATATATATACTTGTTTTATGGGTTAAAAATAATCATCTTCAGTTGGAAACAATTTTTACTGATTCCTATATACAGATATATATCAAGGCTGGTAACTTAGCAACAAAATAACCATCTTATATAATATAATTATATAGTCGTACAAGTTTGTTATACAAGTAATTACAATTAATTACTTTATTTGTTAAACTCAGATCTAGACAGGCTGTTAATGTTTCTAAATATTGTTTTTGTAATATTCCGCAACATAGTGTCCTATTATAAAATCGAATGATGTTAATTATTATAGAAAACTTAATTTAGAATCTTGGTCACTTACATTTTCTTGACCCTGAAATAACGGATCAATGGTTTAAATAGAGTGGTTAAAATACAATTTTATTTGGCCTGATTCAAACCAAAATTCAACCAATCAATGAGTATACACAAGTAATTAAATGATGGACATGTTTTTGGGTGTGGTACATTCAGTCAATTCTTAGATAGTTATATAGTTTTAATTGGATAATGTTATGGCAGCTAGCAATCTCTATTTCCCCTCTTACATATATTAATAAAACAATAAGTTGTAAAAATATTATTTCAATGGAAGAATTTTCTTACTTTTAAGATAATGAAATACATAGGGCTTGTTTCGTTGGCTGTCAACCTATCTTTTATAATTAAACAAAAATTTTGGTGGTAAAATGATTTAGTGATATTCACCTTGTGATATATATATATATCCTGACAGATCTAGAAATATCAATATTAGTTGTACCGAACGACATACACTAATCAACTAATAACTGACATTTACAACTTTGTATCGAACGTGTATAAAATCATTGATAAGAAAACAAAATGGACAAATCTGTGCCAGACAAAATGACAGGCATGCACAGAATTGTGGCAGACGTCATTGACAGGTGGCTTATTGGCATTATATATTTTAATTTTGTTTATAATTTCAGGGTACCAAACCAGAGCTCATTAGATCAAAATTCTCCGCCGGCCAGTAGTATGTCACCCCCCTATCCACATCCTATGTTAGGAAAATACGCTGAGGATGATTTTCCTCTTCGTAAGACAGGTAAGATACAAACAATCGTACAGCATGATTAGTTGATTGTCCTGCATTAAAATTAAACTTGACTAATTCGACATTCCATACACTGACTCAGATCAAGGTTAATACAAATTTACTAATCTGTCATTCCATACACTGATTTATACAGATTTTACTAATCTGACATTCCATACACTGACTTCTGTCTGGGTTTATAAAAACTTGACTAATCTGACATTCCATAATACAATTTTGATTAATCTGACATTCCATATACTGTCTTCTGGATTGGTTTATAAAATATGACTAATCTGAAATTCCGTAATGCAAATTTAATTAATCTGACATTCCATATATTGACTTCTGTCTGGGTATATAAAATATGACTAATCTGACATTCCATAATACAAATTTGACTAATCTGACATTCCATATACTGACTTATGCCTTGGTTTATAAAATATGACTAATCTGACATTCCATAATACAAATTTGACTAATATGACATTTCGTACACTGAGACTTCAGCCTGGATTTATAAAAACTTGACTAATCTGACATTCCAGTTGGTTTACACAGACTTTTGACTTGCTGGTTTAACTAAATGTCTTACAAAGATTGTCAATTTATCCCATCTTGGTTTACTGCAAATAATGTCTTACAAGACTGTCGGGGATCACGTGGCTAAGTGGGTAAGACGCTAGCTCGCTAGCCTGGAGGTCGGGTGTTCGATCCCTGCATTGGCCGAGAAAGTTCATCCAGATTTTCAGGTGTGGTTCTCCCTTGTCAGTGATGCAGGATGGAGGGGCTGACAAGGAAAGCTGTCTAGTCGTTTGGATGGGACGAAAAACCGGGGACCCGTGTACACATTGGCGTGCACGTAAAAGATCCCTTGGCAGTTGGAATTCGATATAAGAGTAGGCCGTAGTGCCGCTGTCCGGGCAAAATTTCCCTCATAGCACACTGTATGGCGTATGTCCATCTTCATTAGCCCAGTTTAGGAGCAGAACAGAACGTTAAACTCCATTTCATTTCATTTCTTACAAGACTGTCAAATTTACCCCTTCTTCATTTACTGTTCACTGTAAAATGTGTTTATTTCTCCCTGAACTGGAAACAAAATAATATTTCCACATTTTCATTGACCTTAGAGAAACCATAGTAAGATATTGTGCTGATAAACTAATTTATTAAATTGCATGGCAAGTTGAGTAATTGAAACATAAGGCTTTCAATCAATCAAACATTAATGGTTAATAATGTTATGGTTTTGGGCCAGCATGTATAAAGATTCTTTGAATTTTCCTCAAAACTCTAATGTGAATAATATACATAATTTAATCAAATTGGCAAAACAATTTTTAGAGAGTGACGAAGTCTTCAAACGAATCTGAATTATAGACATTTGTCAATTTTTTTGATGAAGTCTTCCAAAGAATATGTGAGGATTAAATTTGTTTATAAACAGCAAATTTTCAATTTTTGAATTCTTTGACAACTTTATGAAGCCCAACATGTGATACTTGATCTTTTTAGTTGTTTGTGTATTTGTGTGTATGTTAGTGTGCAGTGTTGTTGTATATTTAGATGAAATGCTTGTTTAATTGAGTGGTTATTTTGAACTTGTTAATGTTTTTAACTTGAGTATAATTAAACATGAAAGGTCGTATGCACTGCTCTTAACTTGTGATTTAATGACTTCCATTTTAAGGTTTTATTAGGGCAATTAAAACTATTTATTTAAGGAATAAAAAGACTAATGAGTGTTTGACAAATATGTAATAATATCAGAATGAATGTAATTTATTATGTTTCTGGAATAAATCATTCTTAAGGCAAGAAAACAAAAATCCAACAAGGCCTCAATAAATTAATTAAATATTTCTCATCACTAATTTCGAAAAAGATTTGCTGGGTGGGACAATTTTTTTTTTGTACGTTTTATAGTTTTATTTCCAAAAATTTCCAGAGTAAGATGCAATAATGGCAGTACTGGTGAACACAATTATTAAGTTATTTATTATTATAAAACATTTATTTTTTGCTGCCTTGATGAGCTTTACTTGCAAATAAATGTTACCAAAATATGACTTTATTCAAAATAAGAGCAATGGATACGGTCCTATATGTAATAAGATATTTAACAAAAGAGATTAGATTTATAAAATATTAAAACAAGTAAATCCTCTTCATAATAGAATTCATTCATTTTTGGATTCTTTGTTATAAATAGATATTCTTCATTTTGTTTTGTAGACATAACGATTTTATTAGCTGGATATTTTTGTATTTTTTTTTTTTCTATACATGGAATCGTAATTTAAAGATACTTTTAGTTGTGTCAATATTGATTTATACTTTGTTGTTTTAATGTCGAGAATTTAGAATTAAAGTCAAATTTTGTTTTGAATTGTTTAAAATGAATCCCGGGCTTAGAAAATTGAATCAGAATATTTCATTCAAACAATCTGATTAAAACACAGATCCTATTTCGTTTCGTTTTTTATAGTTCAATATTTCATTTTACTTGTCTTTATTACACTTTTATCTGGAAGAGTTGTTATAATAATCCACGTTCTGGATGATGTGAGGGATTAGCTAATGAAGCGGTCTTGATTGTTTAATCGAATGTCTGACGAAACAGGGTCAAAAGCCGCCTGTATGACCTCTGACACGACCTTCCGCTACCATCGCTCAGATCTTCATGTAGTAGAGGTCATCGAAAGTATATAAAAAAAAAAGAAACAAAATAAAGATCTGTATTTTAATCAGATTGTCATTTAAATTAAATAGGATTGTTTTCACAATGAAAGTTTTCTTGGTGAAAGTGACTGACAAGTTGTTTTCATGATGAAAGTGACTGACAAGTTGTTTTCATGATGACAGTGACTGACAAGTTGTTTTCTTTTCCACTTATTTTCCTGTCTGGTTAAGATTGTTGAAAAACCACATGCATTTAAGATACAAATTGTTCTTACTTTTGTAAAACTGTCCAAAAATTCACAACAAAATAATTAACACATAAGATTTGTTGGAGCTGAAATGTCTTCTTTGAGCAACATTTAGCAATTGACACATGTAATAAACACAAAAACATAATATGGAACACAATTACTATTTTAATTAAAGCGACGTTTCTTTGAAGGTTCTCTCAATGTTATCAAGGGGAAAGAAATGATTGAAAAGTTTTTTTGTCAGGATTTTTAATTAGGAAACAGTTACTAGGGCTTTAGATGCTAAACACATCAACACACCAAACGTCATTAAATAAACATTTTTATTAAAATAGGTCTAGTCGTTTTAAGGATTAATGTTTAGTTTGGCTTCTTTGTAAAATTAACAGTGACTTGAAGATGCAGTCTGTAAGATTTAAGTTAAGAGATGACCATTCTAGTTATAATAGTTAAAAAATAGGTAATGAGAAACAAATATATTGCAACAGTTCAGTCAAATTACTTTATTCTGATTAAGTTATAAATGTTTGAAGTTTTGACAAGATTTAGCCCAAATTATCTCAGTCGTCAAGTGCCATTGCCATGATAATAAACAAAGTCTTGATATTCATTTTAATGTCAAATTATGAAATTATTAAATGGCACAGGTGTTCTAATCCCTTCAATATCTCAGCCATCAGATAGTCTAGAGAGTTGATTATGGGTTTGTCTAAATGATAATTTATATAACAATTTAAGCCAGAAAAAATACCTGTATCTCTAAACTTTAATTACATCACCTTGGAGAGTCACTTGAGAAAATAAATTGTATAAATAAATACATAACAAACAAATAAGATGTAAATATTTATTTTTGGGTACAAGGCTTGGCTCCTTTTCAAACTAACCAAAGTATTTGCACCCTTTTTTTTTAGTCCTCTGTACTTTTCAATCTGGTATAAATACTCTCTATACAGCCACTTGTGTTATTCTGTCAGGCAGATGCTTAATGTAGATTGCACCAATTAAAGATCTATTTTAAGCTTGCTGTTACTAAAAATAAAGGCCTTTTACTTGGTTTAAAATTGTCTGCCCATTACATTTTATCACCACTGATTTAGAAACAGGCAAGTCAGTTAGAAAATAGAAAACAACAACTTACCAAAAATGGTTTCTTATCTTCTTCCTTCTTGTTCAGATATCAAATTTGCTTGAAATGAATTAGTGGAAAATTTTTATTTTTTAACAGGTCAAATTTGCTAAAAATATTCAAAGGACAAATGTAAAGTTAATGGAAGGATATTGAAATTGGCTCTGCTTTCTTTCTGTCAGTTTTTTGAGAATATCTCATAAACCGTTCAAGATATTTTATGAAACTTTGTATCTATTATCATAATTGTGCCTTTTGTATCTAATAATTTTTGTGTTTCCATGGAAACAAATTTCACTTAAATTTTTGGAATACAAGGGGACAGGATATGGATGACTTAGTCTTTTTGTTTATATGCTATTCAAAATGGTAGTTTGCTAAATATCAATAATTTAAAATATGTCCATGCTACATTGAGGAAATAAAGACGTCTTCAACCTTTCATAAATAAGAAATGCGAAAAGACCACATTTAAATATTTACTTTAAAAGCTAATGGTATAAAAGTTAATGCCTTACATAGGTCAATGGAGACACTTTTAGTCATTGTAGTCATTGATTTTGTAGAAAATAGATTTTACCCATATTCAAAGATAAGGAATCCAAACAGTTTTTTTTTCTCTCAATTGAATGTGTATCTTAATATAGAAACACAAAGCTGAAGTTTTCATTGATGCTGGTATTAAAATTGATAGGTAATGGACATGCTGCATGTCTAAAGATATAAAGGATAGATAATCTTTACAGTCAGATCAAAATAATTTTATCTTAATTCTTATTTGCCTTGAAAATGAAAAATTATTATATTTTAGATACATTTTGTTCATTCCAATTTAAAACTTTACTGTCTCTATGGTTCATTTAGCTATGGATAACTGCACAACTCAACACAGATAGAAAAAAACAGTAAATTAATATAGGCGAGAAGCATCTGATATCATTTCTCAGTTATTGGAAAAGTTCATATAGCTAATAGATAATAAAGGGTACTTGAATACAGATGGGACAAACAGTACATTAATATAGTAGAGAAGCACCTGATACCACTTCTCAATTATTGAAGAAGTTCATATAGCTAATAGATAATGAAGGGTATCTGAACAATCGAGCACAGATGGAACAAACAGTACATCATTAGTACAGTAGAGACTGTATAATTAGATAAAATGTGACATTGAGATAGCAAAAAAACTAAAAACATTTTAGCGTAAACATCAACATTTTTTGTAATTGTTGTGCATTAACTGTTATTGTTTATTGGAGATAGGAATTGGTATATGTTGGCTCAACAACATACATCTGATTATTTATAACCATTTATTACTACAAAACATAATAGAATTTCTATTTGTGACATTTCTTAAATCGCTAGAATTACAGCTTAATATCAATGGTATGGTTTAAAAATAGATTTTTCTCCTGATAAACCTCTGACTAGGAGAAAAAGTCATTTGATTGTTTCCATAGTAACGTAATGGTGTGTTATTGCATGATATTTGTATTATTACTGTCATTATTTCATGGCTTTTTTGTTGTAAGTTTAAAAATATTATAACTTTTTTGTTTTATTTTTATTTTGAGGCGTTTTTCAGTAATTAGAAACATGTCTTCATTTTCCAGCTAATATTCCACGATGTTTTGTTTTACGGGCAGCCCAGATATTTGCCATAAATTTGTTGATATTTTTGAGGGACTTGTTGGAAAAATTACAAGAACATCAAATTAAAACTTGCATGAAATTACTGTGCCAATTTTTGACTGGTCAAAATTAATTTCATGGAATTGAAAAATAATATTTTTTGCACATTATTAAAATTATCATGACACAGACAATTTATTAGTAACTTTATATTAGCTACTTATAAGATGAAATGGAGATTATAAGTCACAGGGGGGGAAATACCCTATTTATCCAAAATTGTCTAATTCCCTCAACAAATGAGCTTTATATTAGCTTTACATAACATGAAATAGGGGATATTAGTATCTACTTAGTCCTAACTTTCTTCCGGAAATGAAATGATATGAAATATGACAGATATGATATGAATATGGAATGATGTACAGTGCACCTTGTTAATCTGATCGTCTGTCTGTATGAACAAATCCAAAAATTAAGAAGAAGTTTGATTATTTATTAACTAACAAAACATTGTTCCAGCTTGGTTTATTAATTTACTTAAGAGATGTCAGGTTTTCCAGAGTGCACTGTATTTATTTTTGCCTGTGTATTTATGTTTTTGCCTGTAGATTTTACACATGTTTGACGTGTTCTTGATTTCAGCGTCTGAACCCAATATACTAAAAGTTCGCTCTGCGCTAAAACAGAAGCTGGAAACCAGGCGCGGAATGAACACTCACAGTCCCTTGGTTCGGAGAAGAGAGAAAGGGCCATTGCCAAAACGCAAAACTGCGCTCTCAAGTATGTACCCATACTATTTTTTAATCCGTCTGGTCTGGCATCCCTGTAAAGAATGTCAGCAGTTTAGAAATGTTCTAATACAATTAGAAACAGCAGTTCTGATTGGCTATTTGTTATTAAGATTTTGATTGGATAAAAATATCCATGTTGGAAGCAGTGATACCTTAGGTGTTATAACCATAGAAGTATTTTTCATAATCATTTACTTTTCATTTGTAATTGTTAAATAAAAGTAGTAAGTTCAGTTTTTAACAATCAGTTTTTAAAATCTAAACGGAAACTAATTATTAATGTCTAATTCATTTGTTACTGTAGTTATTATTATTGGCATCAAATTGTAACAATGAAAAACCTCTAAGAATTTTGAAAAAATTGGTGTTGTAACGCTGAGCCAGCTTTTGGAACTTTTATAACTCAAACTTAGCACAGAAAGCATGATAATGGTGTGCAGATTTGTGACCTTTGACTTTTAAGAGAAAACATTTGTGCTAATATTGATTAAAAACCAAGCTAAAATATAACGATGCATGAGAATTCAGATTGTTTACTAACTCACTAAAAGTAAATTTGATGAAATGTAATGCCATGAATTATTATTTTATTTTTTGAAGTTGCTTTGGCATAAATTGAGAACATTTTTTGTCTTGGTGCTAACATTGTTTTTACTGACACTTTCATGAGCAGATTGTTTTTAATATTTGATAACGCATCATCAAACTTGTCTTTGAACATTATATTCAATTATAGTCTGTTAGTTCTATGATTATTCTGTAATTTTTCAGAAACTCGTATATTTTGATAAATTTGTATATTTGCAAATTTATTTATTTTTTATTAAAGAAAGTAGACATTGAGAAAATATTGTTTTCTACTAATCTGTGGAGGCATATTTTCACATAAATTGTAGGTTTCATTTCAGTGTTTTGAATTTTATATATTCTATTTTGTTAGTTGAAACTGGTGTTTGTAGCAGTAATCCAGATTCAGGCCCCAACTCCCCTCCCGGACCTTCTCATTCAACTGTACAAAATGGTAGTCTCCCCAAAGAGGTAGGTCATGAATTTTAAACTATATTTTGTAATTTCTATGTTTGTTCTGTAATGTTTACACATTATATATATATATATATATTTTGAAATTATTCTTTTTTATTTGAAAATATTTCTTTTCATCCAAAGTACCTATCAATGTTTTGTCTTAAACGCTATTTCTCTCCAGTAGGGAGTGTATTTATATTGACATTATCTCAATCTGATTAAAATACAGATCTATATTTCGTTTCATTTGTTTATATTTTCGATGGGCTCTACTAAATGAAGATCTGACCAGTTGTAGTGGGAGGTTGCATCAGGGGTCATACAAGCGGCTTTTGACCCTATGACGTCAGACATTTGATTAACCAATCAGCGTTGATGTTTCTAGTAGGATACCTACAGTTCTGTGCATCGCATGCCAAGAACCCGCTGCAACAGACCGTTTCATAGCTTAGTCCCTCACATAACCAGAACGCATGTTATATAACAATTCTTCCAGATCCTAGTGTTGTAAAGACAAGTAACATTGACACGAAATAGGATCTGTGTTTTAATCAGATGGTCATTATCCAAGTCTTAAGACATAAAAACACCCAGAAGACACAGTACAAGGACTTTGCAAATAATAAACAATAAATTTAAATGGATACTGGTGAAAAAGTGTAGTCAAATTTACTGCCTGTAATTCAAGACTTGTATATATAACTGAAACGAGAAGCATGCTTTAATTACACCTAATGTAATGTTAAACTTATCTATGCCAGGTCATCTGAATTAGAATAAAACTAGATAGTTCCAGCGCAATTCAAAAATAGTTTTATCTTGTAAAAGCTTTTAGTACCCAAATGTCAAGATGGATAATGTAGTTCATAGCTTGAAATATGATTCTTAGTGCAAAAGTGAAGAAAATGTGCCTTATAATAATGCATCTTACTATCTATGATAAAGTGTCAATTGATAATGGTATGTCATGTTCGCTATTACAGAAGAGAAATACAATATATTGTCTTATTGATATTAAAGGGATTTTTGGCTAGCTAAATATATATGCAGTGCTTGCAAGGGTTATTTGTTACCCCCAAACAAGCTTTTCCTGTGCAAAATTCTCCCCTTCCCACTGCATACATACAGTAGAAAAATAAATATACAGTACCTCTGTTTCAAAATGGCTAAAGATTTGTATTGCTGGATGATAAACCTCTGTCCCTACCTCATCATAATTCATTCACATTTATTATCTCTATCGAGCGTGGTTTCAGTTCCAAATCACCATTACACTTAGCTACAAATGATGACAGGTGTTGTGGATCAGGAAGGGTGTGCTTATTTTTTCTAGATTACCTGATACAGCTTTTCATTGGAACAGCCCACACAGCAAACAAATTTTTGTTGTACTTTTGACTTCCTATATCGATTTTGAAGCATGCTTTACAAGTTGGGAGTTGGATCCATCAAACAAAGACTAATAATTTTTGAAAATAAATTTCCAGGTGAAAACCCAAGTCCCTTTAAACTCAATCTGATTAAAACACAGATCCCATTTCGTTTCATTTTGTATAGTTCAATTCAAAATTTCATTGTACTTGTCTTTAATACATTAGGATCTAGAAGACTTGTTATATAACTCAAGTTCTGGTTGATGTGAGGGATTAGCCAATAATACGGTCTGTTGTGGCAAGTTCTTGGCGTGTGGTGCTCGGAACTGTGCAAGAAACTATCAACACTAATTGATTAATCAAATGTCTGATGTCATAGGGTCAAAATTTGCTCGTATGACCCCTGATACGACCTCCCACTACAACCGGTCAGATTGTGAAGTGGAGGCTATGGAAAGTATAAAACAAATGAAATGAAATTTAGATATATTTTATTCAGATTGCTTTAAACTTTGCTTTGCCCTCCACTATGAAGTATCTTTTGATGGGTACTTGTATGCCTATTTTATTACATCACGTTAGCATGTATCTTCAAAACAAGAAGCTCTCTTAACAAATATCATATGAAATGAGATGCCCATGGTTTCTAATTTCACAAGTTACATAAATTTGGGTGTGTATACAGATAGTGCACGTAATGAACATCTGTGATGATTTACTGCTAACACAAACTAATTTATTAAGTTTACATTCAATGGTAATTTACAAGTTCATTGATAAAAAAAAAAAAATTGTTGTAGAAGAACCTATTCGGAATTGTGCAGCCTGGTTCATGTACATCCATCTAGATGTTCAGCTAGGGCATCACTCAAAAACCAGAATGTCCTAGGTTATAAAATAAAGTCTGGACTGAGAAAATCATCAGAGATTCTCACTAACTGGTCAGAAAAGATAAGTGTGTAGGCTTTTAGACGGAACAGAAAAACAAACTACCATGCTCATGTAAAAGATCCCTTTGCAGCGTCAATTCAAAGAAGAGTAGTCACGCTACTACCAGGACTAAATTCTTCCTATCTTAGCACACATGACTAGAGAAATAAAAAAATATTGTGTTTTAGTTTCAAAGTGTCTGTGAAATGTGAAACCCTATTTAATTTGAATATTCTATAAACATATGATGTAGGTTTAAGTGAGATGTTAAACCCTGTTCCATTTGAATATTCTAAAAACGTGGGTTTATTGACAGTGCACATGAAAGATCCCCTGATTAATTGAAAACAAAGAATAGTAGGCAAAATCCAAACCCGTCACATTGTACAATAAAATAACTGCATATTAGTTTCGGAATGTCAAAAGAAACGTGTTTATAAGATAGTCAGTGGCTAGTCTCTAATTATCTACTGAAGTCACTGTTTCTTTGGATGAAAGGTCTGATGCCACTTCTTATGATGTACATCCAATTCATATCAATTGGATTTTGTTGTACATAGGGAAAAGAAATGTTAGAAGTGCTTTCTGGAAAATTGTTCAGAAAACTGAAAACTAAAATGTTCAATTATCCAGCCCTTTGCATTGGTCTTGAGCTAAAATTTGTACTATTAATATGAACTGTCAACCTATAAGAATTCTAAATATCTTTGTTTAGATATTCATGAATAAGGATCCTGATCTAAATCTGTCTTATGTTAATAACAAGAACTAAGAGCCAATCATGTTATTTATAAGTAAATTCTACCAAAGACAACCAAATGGCATTGGAAATATTGTAACTGAAATACTGGCACAGTGCCAAAATTTTCTGTTTTTAGAATTGTGTTGGCTGGAAGCCCCAAAATTTACCTCTTGTATTTTTTATCAATGTTACGTTCACTGATTGGAGCTCAATCGTTCGTTATCTACTTCCCAGAATTCCACAGGAATGTCTTTTATCAAAACTGGACGACTACTACCTGCAAATAAAGTCTGGTGCCAAAATAGAGTAGTATACAAAATATATATATAAGCTGTCTGATAATCTATATTTGGAACCACACAACTAACCACTTGCTAAATGTGTGAAAGAGAGACTACAGCCAACTGTTATTTCAAATATTCTGATAGTAAGCCAAAAAAAGATGATAATTACTCTTAATGCAGAAATCATAAACTTTCAGCTTTCCACACCTTCAGATGTATTTACGATCAAGATATTAACTTCTATGCTTATTATGATAAAAACTGTATTCAAGGAATTTGTTCAGAATTCAAGATCTGTATTTGAATTCTAGTATGTCTCAGGAAACATTTATATGTACTTCAGTAGAATTATAAACACTCTTAAAGTTACAAATTGTGTTTATGTTACATTTGTCTTTACCTTATAATTTTGACTTCTGGTGCAAACTGCCACTCTGTTTAGAAACAATGATGGGTATCATGTGTGTGGCAGGGTATGCTTACACATTATAACACTTGATTCTACTTTTCATTCGAGGAGTTCAATAAACTTCGGCTGATCTATTAATATTATTACATTACATATTGCATTATTACATATTGCATTATTGCATAAGATTATCCTCAATTTTAGTCAGTGTGTCCCTTTAAAGTAGAAAGTATTTGTTTTATTTTAGTCAGTGTGTCTCTTTAAGGTAGAAAGTATTTGTGTAATTTTTGCAGATGATAACCTCCTTTACTTGACACTAATTGATTAAGTATATTTAGAATTGAATATAATTCTTTAAATAATGTTGAACTGCCAAAAATTGTAAAAAAAGAAATGAAATTTATGAGCTTTGCATCTGATATTGTAAATCATGAAAATGAATAATAAATCACTCATTTTTTGATAGAATAGAAAAAGTTAAAAAATGTAATGTAATGTAGTATTTATAAAGTGGTTTAAATTTAAACATGATGAGCTGTCCATTATTGCTGTTAATTTTGTATAGCCGGGGTTTTGGATGGCCGAATGGTTATCATGTGCGTGTTGTATCCTAAGGTCTGCCATTGAGTCAACTGGTGTGGTTTCGATTCCCCGGTTGTATGTGACATGGAGTTGGGTCGCCTGTCCAACATCATGGGTTTTCTCCGGGTCCTGCGGTTCCTTTAACTGCTATAGACCCCTACGCGCAAGCGAATTATTGGAAAAAAATAAACCATATGTTAGTCCTGAAATGACCTGGTTTGTGTTGAGTGGACGTTAAACCCTATTTCTCTCTCTGTTAACAAAAAATGGAAACCACAGACATCAGTAAGCAAAAATAAGAGATAAAAACATAAGTGTGTTTGTTAATGTGGCAGTGGTGTCAGCATAAAGAGTAAAATCAAAATACATCACAAACAAGTAACAAGCTTATAAAGGAAAATACTGCAAGAATGTTTATTTCTGTGACTGAAACATCGACATTGTTAATATTCCATGCTTGGGAGTTGGGTGGCTGAATGGTTTAATGCTTGCACGTTATATCATAAGGTTTATCATAAGTGGCATGGTTTTCATTCACAACTTGTACCTAACAAGGATTAGGATCGCTTGTCCAACCACATGGGTTTTCTCTGGGTACTCCTTTTCCTCCTTCCTCTAAAGACACCCTATTTAAACGAATTATTGATTAAAATTGAACAATATGTTAGTCTTGAAATGACATAGTTTGTGTC